CGAAAAATATACATATATAATCAATAACTTAAAACAGAAATGTATATGTTATATATAATTCGAATAAGAGTGATATTCTTTCTTTAAAATTTATAAAATTAAACTATTTTTATACTTATCAAATTAAATATTTCTAAGCTTTACGACATTAAAACCATATTGTTTTGAAAATATTTTTGTTTATATTAATTTTACGGATTATATAGATAATTTTTCGCTAGGAAGAAATAATCAATTTCATCATAACTTTAGTATTTAAAATAAATAGAAAAAGAAAGTATTATTGATCAAATATTATTATTACAAATAACTAATCTTGCTTTAACAAGCGATCATATTTTTCTTAGAAGAATTATCTTGCGATTCGATGAGAAATGTGAAATGAAGTAAACGAAGAGAAATTTTCCTAGGAAACTGTCGTAAAAGGGAAACAAAAATAAAAGTCTATGACTTTTGGTTGAACGAATTCGACGATATTTATCATTGTAGAAACTTCGCCCACTTTTTCGAGTGCTATAAAAACGTACCATCGTGCATTGCATACAAAAAATACATATAAAGAATGTTTTATCAAAAGAACGACTATGTTGAAAAGTAGCAGCGTTATACATGATGAATTGAGACACGATGGTATATGAAATGAAGGGATTTACGAGAGAGGATACGTTTTCACGGAATAGAATGTTGATGGAGATTGCTTGCTGAAGTACCGAGTCTGAACTATTTCGCTCTCGCACGCGCGGTTTCTCCATAAACAATATGCGGCGGTGTTTGGTATTCTTGGAAGCCCGTAAGCGCTTCAATCACTCTGAAATTTTCCTTTGCTCATACTGCAAATTACGCTTGCGAGCTGAACAAACATGTGGTGCGCCCAAGCATTATCTATTCTTACACGAGTTTCCATCAATGTGAAAATATAGATAAAAATTTTGGTGGAACGCAAAATACACATGTATAATGAAGTTATATCAAGTTGAAGGTTTTTTGCTATAACCAAAAATTAAAATTGTAAAATAATAATTAATAATAATAATTAATAATTAATTAATAACAGGCTTTTAACAGATAAAATATTTTCCTTTTTTAAATGTCGAATCGTTTATCGTTATTATCTTTTTCCTTACATAAAAATGAATAAATTTCATTTTATAGAATCTTATAGAAAATTATCTATATTTGTGGAATTGTTCATACGATGAATAATTATTCAGAATTGTTCGATTATCTATTAAAAGTATGTCATTGATTAACTCAATTGTAAATAATGCCGATTAGCATTTTTAATATTATTTATCACAATTGCGTCGATTCTCGACACAAATGCAACAACGCGTTCAATTGCAACATCCTTGTCAGCACCTTTATTCGCGTTCAGAGAATGCACTCGACAATAATGGTCGACGGAACTATGTCGGGGGAATAAAACGCGTGGTGGAACAAGAGAGGAATATAGAGATAGTCTGATACTTATGACACGCTTTCAGAACACAAGAAACGAGAGAAAAGGAGGATTTGATTCGTGACATATATCCTCGACATTCTCTTCATCATTGATATCGATTTCTAACAAACATGGGCACACCCGCGATATTCAATTGAAAGTACTCGTTCGTGCAGCGCAAACCAATGAAAATGGCAAGCAGCAGGTTAAACGAATGGCAAAAATTTATCTCGAAGGCTGAAATACGTATAAAAGTTCGAACGCTAATTGCAAAGTTCTTGCATTTATAAGGATTTTTGAAGTAACATAAAGTGGAAGTAGATTAAATCAAGAATTTTTTACCAAGAGAGAAAGAGCTGAACAGTTTGTAAAATACCGACAATTGAAGAAAATAATTATAAATTGAAGCTATAAAAAAACTAATTTTCTGAGATTTGCAATAAAGTTATAACTATTTGTAACTATTGTATTTATATCTCGAAAGAAATTTATTGAAGCTGTATAAAGTTGTAAAAGCTTTCTGAAATTTATAACATAATTATCAGAACATATATCTCAAAGCAAACGACATGGGAAAAAATATATTCAATTAATTACATTTGAACATATTGAAACATATTTGAACATATTGAAATAAAATATTACGTTAAATGCAAACCTGAATACATTTTTTAGAATAAACTTTTCGTAAAATTGATGGAGTGTAAATGACAAGTGTTTAATAGTTATTTACGCATGTCAATTTGTTTCTTTTTCTTTTGATATTATATAGCGTCTCTATTTCACTTGTTTGCACAGCGGTAAATCGAGTGGATTTTGACGGACAGCGTATACCGAAAAATATATGTATATTCGGAATATCACGCGCGACCGGACTGTTTTCGCACGATGATAGACTGGGTGTCGATCGTACGTCACTCAAGGCGTCGATTCAGTGATTACATGTTTACCGTGCCGACCAAAATACGAAAACGTCGAAGGGTGAAGCGACACACCAATTCAACGCTGAGTTCGCCCAATGATCGTGATACAAATAATACAATTTCGCGTTCCAAAAACGACAGAAGTATTTGTGAATGTTATTGGACTCATGTAAGTTCGAACGCAAGTAAGCGTAATGTCCTTATCACGCGATTGGAGATTGCGTTTGCATCACGTTTGCTTCTCTTGACCAATCAGAAAGGAACTGCTGCTTCGATCAGCAGCTTCTACCTAATTGATTAAAAGACGCAAACGTCGTGAATGCAATCTTCAATCACTAATATGATACAAACATTAAACAGCATTAGATCAGTACTGAGATTTACTTGCACATTTCAGTTGATTTTCAATTTTCTGTTTACTTCACCACCCTTACTTCACCAATCGGAATTTAAGCTGCACGCGAGTTGGTGAAGTAAAAAAGGAACCAAACTGAAAATCGGCAAAATGAAATGTGCAAATAAATCCCAGCACTGCTGATTAGATCATAACGACAAGAAAAATTATACATCGGTAGCAGGAAAGATTTCACGACTGATCAGAGTTAAGAAAATTACACATCTTCTAATTATAACGATAAACAGGAAAATATTAGAACACATTGCGACTATTAAATTGTCCGATCGTTAAGATTTGATGTACTAAAAGTCAGAGTTGTTTTTATGACCTTTTGGCGCGTGAGATAATAATTCAATAAAATTGTTTTCTTCTTGTTGCAGAAAACGAGGTTTGATGGTACAGGAGTGGAGGAACAATTACCACCACCACCGTCGCCACCCCAACTGAAAGAAGCGGCCCAGTTAGATGGAGTTCCCAGACTGAATTCAGTCGACCGTATCCTTCATCCAGATGGTATTCCGCACATTAGTCATGAGACGCTCAACAAGGTAAGTGTGTCAAGATAAAAAAGATGCTAACTAATAATTATAGATAATTATAGATAAAAAAAGTCAAGTATACATAAAAGGATATGCAAATTACGGAGAAAAAATTTTCTACTTAACATGCATATGTAGCATACATTAAACATCTGTTTTATATAAAATGCATTAAAAGTATCACAAGAAGAAGCGAGAGTTTGATCGCACGTTTAAATGTTGTCTTTTTCATTTAAAAATTTAAAATCTGTTACAAATGGGGTGAAATAATGAATTAGAAAAGTTGTTCATAAGAGTTGATGGCGCATGCGTGCGCGAAGCTCGAAATGTTCGCCACCTACGTTTTCATCCCTGAAGATACTCACCCCGCGGGATCGATGAACGCGGTTCTCCTGCGGTTGGTAACAGTTGGAAAACAAACTTTCCACGTTACCGAATGCTATAACCATACTGGCAAACGTCAATAGATGATGAAATCTTAGAAAGTACACTCTACAGGTACATTTTATTCATGAAATTTTTACACTTTTGCATATCGATGTAATCAGAATAAAAAATTATTATCCAAAACTATCGTGAATTCCAATGATTTTAATTAAATTATAATTAGCTTCTCTGAGAATAGAAATAAATAGATCGACTTTTAAATTCCCGATGAGAATCCTGATTTTATCATAATAGTTTTATCATTCAAATCTTGATTAAACAGTTAAGGATCACTATTCACTAAATCATCCCCAGAAAAGTCTGCTGCACCCTCTGATAGATGGCAGAGACTACGCGAGGTCATCCCGGGATTCCCCGGAAGGCCGCGCGGTCTCGCTACGGTCTGTCACGTGGTAAGATCGAGGTCTGCATTACCCTGCCCCCGTTGATTGTCCGCAACACGTGGACAAAACAGTTCGGCCGCGACTTTGCAGCTCGTCGGCCTCGAGAGTCGAACATGCGACAGGGCTCGTAGATGGGCGGTTCGGTCGCGGTAATTCCGGTGAATGTGCGGTGCATCAGTATGTTATCTGGTCCCATTGAGACCGCATAACCGCAAGAGTGACGACGAGAGTCCTACATACGATGAAGAGTTTCTTGAGGAGAAGGTGTTTCCTCACGTTGGACTCAACGTCCTTGGAAACTTGGGTGTGAAAAACCGAAAGGCATTATTGATCGCACTTCGTGGAGTGCAATGTTTTTCTGTCGCCAACCGTGGTCGATAATGAGGCCGATATAGGGTGGGATATTTCGCGGTCGTATATCCAGATCGCTCGATAATCGGCGCGGAGTTAGGTACAGGAACACATCCGGATCGCCATAACGTCTTCCGCTATTTAATTGTTCATAAGCGGTGCCAACCAACGTTGGAATGACCAATCAACTGGACCCATCGAATTTTCCTGTGAATGCGTTAACAGCAGCCTCGCTCGCGTATAAATAATACAGGAATTAGGTTAATTAATTCGTCGTGCGTTATCACGTCGCCGCCATTTCGACCAAATGTAATTATATGGTTTTAATTACAGAAATTTAGTGAGCGTATATGATATTATTTAAAAATCACCTATATAAATCACGCTTTGATAATGTTCACATTTATTTAATATTGTTGTTAGACGCTATATATTTAATGATACTTTATTGTATATTTCAAACTATTATGTTTCGCTTTAAAATACTTATCGATATTGAAAATGCCCAAAATATGCCGAAAATATAACATTTTATTTTTACTTTGAAAAACTGATTTTTGGAAATTAACCTTCAGAAACTTCGAAGGTGAAATTTCACTGAAATTTCAAAATTCTTCGTAGGCATTTCACGAAATTCATCGACAAGATTATTGATGTATATTGAATCTGAATCCATTACATTCGTTTGAGAAGGGAGGATTGTTAAATATAAATTATGCAGACGCACAGCACAATGCGAGATAGCATCGCGCGAAAATTCAATGCACCTGCGTCAGAGGAGGTGGGTCATATTTGCGAGATTAATAGATGATCGCGAGTTACGGACGAATTGAAATCGCGTGGGAGGGGACTCTTATCGCTCTTCTAAACGGCGGTCGTTAAGAGAGAATGAGGCGCGCATTCCGTGGATTGCATTGTACAATCTTCTTTATAGCACATCGTCGGTATATGATGCAATTTGTGCGTAAGAAAAAGAGAGATTTGTGTTACGATATAAATGACATCAGTTAAGGTTTTTTATTTAGCGTTGAATTGATTTCTTGTATTGAAAATATTTATTTTGTAATTGAGGTGCTTTTCTTATCGCAATTTATATATTTTTTGATTTTCTAGTATTATAAACACTAATATTTTCACGTAAAAATATCTGTCGGACGCAATTAATCTTTTTGTATTACTCGCGCAAATAGAAGTTAAAGTCTTTATGCAGAATATGTATATGTTCTTTGGAAGTGACAGCTCATTAACAAAGGAACTATTAAGCGCATTGATGTTTTCTAAAAGTATTTAATCGATCGATGAAAGTCTCTCGTACTGTGCCGGTAGTTCGGAAGTACTTCGATAATTTTCTACGAGACGATTCTATCCACGAGGCTTGCAAGTGCTCGCTAAAGACCAAGTTTTAGCTACTTAAGACAAGAAACACCGGTTATATGAAGGTAACTACAAACTCGTCGCGCCAAGAGGGTTGTTTCAACATTATACACAATTTATGTTGTGCGATAAATTATCATCCCCATCCGACTTAACACGACGGGTTCGCTATGCGAACAGTGCGATAATATTATTTTATTAGTCTGACAACGATGATGCATGAATTTTCCGTGACGTCTTTTCTTTCTTTTTTCTTGCCATTGTCTCTTCCACGCGAGCTCACCTTTTCCTTCTTTCCGAATTCGTCGTGATTTATTGACACAAATCTTTCCAATTGCAACGCCGCCAAATTGGCCAGGTGAAAGAGTATTCCAGAACGATCTTGGAAAAAAAAAAAACGGAAAAAGGAGACTGTATTAGATGCAAGAAAATTTCATTAAATCTGTGCACGTATTAAATTTATTAATATATAAGGTGAAAAATGTTTCAGAGAATAATATTTAGAAAAATAATCTTTTATTTAAAAATCTAAAAACTTAAGAATCTCATACTTATGTAAAAAAAATAATTATATTAGCGAAAGATATTCAATTCTTTGACTTATTTCGTGTAGAAATATTGTTAGCGAAAGTAATACATCTATTTTGAATGTTCAGATTTGATCTCAAACATTATGTGGATTTCATTAATCTCGCAAAAAGTTAGTTTCAAAGAAACGGATTGAACATGAGGAAGATGAGGCAGATTAAGGTAGATGAGGGTTAGACAGTAGAATACGCTTCGCTCACTTCTTTCTTTTCCATGTATGATACCGTCCAATAGTCGTCCTCTATGTGACCTAAAACGACCTAGATTCTGCCTCCGCTGTTGCCCATTTTCCTGGCTTCTCGGTCAGTGAAACGATTCGACGATAAAAGTCACTTTCCTCGTACCGTCGAGACCTGATTTTTAAATCGGTGAAGTAACGAAAAATTTTTAACATCTTTTAACACCATGAACAAAACTACAAAAAAAAGACCATTTCAGACAAAAAGCCAAATATATTGCAATGATTTAACGCATTAAAAAAAAATTCCAGGCGTTATTTGAAATATTATAAGCGTTTATTCTAATCGGAAAAAGCATTGCAAAAATTGCAAATGAAAATTAAAGAATAAAATTTCATTCAGACTATCAAAATATTAATTCAATTGATTACTCGCGTCAATTCATATTACGGAAGAATCAAACTGCTTGCGTTAACATAATTTGTTGGTTAACGATATCTGATGACAAATTCATCACAGCTGATGACTATATTAATTTACCCCGATATTATCTCGATATTCAATTTAATTCCATCATCATTGTATATTTATTATTATTAAAATCCTTCAATCAATTAATATTTGTATTAATTGATATAATTGTATAAAATAATAATAAGCAAATAATTTGCATTGGATAAATTATACGCTGGGTATATGTCAAAGTGTAATAGAACAGAAATGAGAATTCTTTCTCTTGTAAAATTACTGTGGAAATTTTTATCTTTTTTAACTATTTTATGTAAAGAAGAACATTTTCCAGCATGCTCGATTTTTATAGGCGACTATGTGCGTTGTATAATCACGATACTAATTAATGTGCACGCGATGCGTGTCATTCAGCGAGAAAATCGCTGGAATTAGAGTGTAACGAACTCTTTGCATGCCGGGCTCCATTTGACATTTACTTTGAGCATTTGAACGTAACATACAACATGGCACGACAAAATATCATGGATTTAAATAATTATTTAATAATCACACGCAATTATTTTTTTTTATCGCATGTAATTCTCGCGCGTATGTGCAAAGTTTATAATTTTGTTGGCAATATCTCCTTGACATTTAATCTTATCGATTACATTGTACTCCCGATTAAATGTTAAATGACATTTTAGCATCAATTTTACATTATTTATCGTGGATTACGAATGCTTGAAATTATTTAATCAGTATGGATACAATTATAATTTCTTCGCGCGCTCGCCGCATACAACAAATCGAAGAGATTCGCGAAAACTCTGAGCAAAGTTAAATTGCAGGCTGATGCAAATTGTAAATCAGCTTGCGATTGCTCAGCGAATTGTGATTTAAACGGAATCATGCGACAAAATTAAATCACGATTCGCTGCGTGCATTTGATCGCGATATGTGTTACGATTGACTTAACGTGTCGGTTTACATTTTAACTTTCAATTTAATTGCAACTAATCCTTCCACGTAACTGCACAGATTAAGCTAACCAAAATTGCTATTTGATGCGAGAAAATACGTCTGAATCAATTACATTTTTATCTACAAATGAGAGTCTTTTATAAAGTCTTTTTAAACTCAAAAACAATTTGCGCTATCACGTTTATGTGATTTTAAATGTCGACAGAAATGAAATACAGAATGTAAAATATGTTCCAACGGAATCAATGTGTAT